CGCCCCGCCCGGCCCGCCGCGCTCCGTCCGCGCTCCGCAGCTCCGTCCCGTCACTCAGCCAGTACTCCTCCCGTCGGCCGCCAGCGCGCACGCACGCACTCGCCCCGCGACCAGAATCCCTGACTGAGTGGCCACCATGCACCTCGAGTCCACCCTCTCGCTCAAGGAGCGCCGCGCCGACGCCGCGCCACCCGCCCCCGCCGCGGGCCCGCGCCTGTCCCTCAAGGGCTCCAAGGGCGCCAAGCAGGGAGCCAGGGCCAAGGGCCGCGCCCCGCTCCTGGGGGAGGTCGGCAAGCGCCAGACCCTCAACGTGTTCGCCGCCGACGGCCGGGACGTGTCCGCCGAGGTCGGCTCCGAGGAGGCCGTCGTGGACGAGACGGCCTTTGTCAAACAGCCGTCCGTCATCTTCACGCGCGGCAAGAAGGTAGGCTGTCCTGCCGGTCACGGTCCGACTGCACAGTCCTGGAACTGCCAGGTGCATGGTTTCTGCTGAGATGAGCTCAGCTCTGGTGGGAGGCGCCCGGAGGCGCCGCGCTAGCGCCGCTAGAGCTGCGGTGGCGGCGGGGCGGCCGGCGGCTCTGTCGCGGCGACACGGCCAAGGTCGGGGCCGCGACCACCGCAGCGCGCGCAGCGCGCAGAGCAGAGCGGAGCAGCGCCACCGGCGCGGAGCCCTTGACATTGGGGGCGGCTAGCGACGCGCCGGGTAGGTCAGTGCCAGGGGGTTTGTAGTTGTTCTGATTGCTGATTCGGTTTCGGATCGACAATCTTTTCCCGAGGCCCTTTACACGACCGCGCCAAGTTTCTTTCATTCCCCCATCTACCCGACATCTTCAGCACTCATGCGAGGAGTCCCTCCCTTGTCGTGAGGGCCGCCCTGTGAGGCGGGGAGCTCGCCGTCGTGCACCTGCGCAGGTGCGTGCCGCCGCTGCCGTGGCCCAGCCGTGGCGTGCGGCGCGCCGGCGCTCCGGGCGGGGCAGTTGAATGGGCGGCTTGCGTGTCCAGTGTCCACCGGGTCCAGAGGCCGGCCCGTCCGCCGTCGGGTCACGAGCAGAGCGGAGCAGAGCGGAGCAGAGCGGAGCAGAGCGGAGCAGAGCGCTCTCCGGCTAACCCACTGGGGACCCTGCCCCGCAGAACGTCGGCACCAACCAACTGGAGAGAGGTGCCGGCGCCACAGCCGCCGCACCAATGTTTGCCCCATGTCTCCCTCGCCCACTCGGCAACTCCAAGTGTGTACTTGTAGGCAGTATGGCAGTATCTCCTGCATACATGGCAAAGTCACAATCTCCTGCATACATAGAAGGTGTTCGGGAGATACTGCAAACAAGTACACACTTAAGTTTGCAGAGCATTCGCGGACCCCAGACTGGGCAGTTCGTTGGCGCAGTGTAGTCCCCCGCTTGTCCAACACCAGAGTGAGGTCCCCTCGCAATGAGCGCGCCCCTGCACTGGGCGGCCGGGGCGGGCCGTCGGCTCGACACAGCTGTTTGGCGGGTCGGCCTACCCAGTGTGCTGCAGGCGCCATGGCCCGGGCATGCCTCACATTTAGTGCTCACATTATGTGGGTGACAAAGAGAGCGGCAAACTTTGGCGCGCAGGGACACAGCCGAAAGGCGCCCGTAGGCTTCTCCGCGTGCGTGGCCTGGCGCCGGGCCACCTCGGGGATGGGCGCTAGTCTCAACAGGGGCGCTGGACGCTGTGGGTTCGGACGTTTCCCAATGTGTTTGTTTCGCTCGCTTGTTTGTCTAGTCCTGCGCGGCCAGGGCCGTGACGTCATGAGGTAGCGGGTCGGCGCCGCAGGAGGCGAGCAGGAGGGCGGCCGGGTCCAGGGCGGCGCCGTGCGAGGTTGTTGAACCACTTTACTCTCGGGCATTAAATGCGTTATGGACGGAAATCCCCGAAGAAAGCAAAGCGGCGTGTGTGTGTGTGTGTGTGTGTGTGCGCGTGCGCGCGCGGACAGGTGGGGAGACTCTTTCACTCTCCCATCTCCTCACGGTGAGCGTCTCCAGAGAGCGCCTCCTGCGTTAGGCTCTTCTCGGTAAGGCGCATGCAGTCCGGCAGCAGGACCTGTCCGGCGCCCTCTGTCCGCCCGGCGGGGCGCGTGGTCGCGGCCAGTGCCTCCTCTTGCTGCCCATTCCTAATTGAATTGGCGACTCTTCAGGAAGCCGTCGCGCGCGCAGCATTAGCGTCACGCCAGTTCGCAAAACGCTTTGTCCGCAGGGCGGGGCGCGGCGAGGCGGGACGGGGCGCGGTGG